ACACACACACACACACACACACACACACACACACACACACACACACTTTTCCAAGAAAGTCACCCTTCAAATCCTACGATCCCTGTTCATATCACAATCTGGCTTCCCACTTCACAAAGAGACAGACACCGACAGCCGCCTTCCTCTCTAGCTAGCTTACTTCTTCTTTGAAAGCATCCAATGTTCACATCTTTAATTCCCCCTCCTGCAATTTTCCCTTGACACCATAGCTCCATTAGATCAACTCCTATAGCTGGGCGGTGGTGGCCTTTAATCCCAGCACTTGGGAAGCAGAGGCAGGTGGATCTCTGTGAGTTCAAGGCCAGCCTGGTCTACAGAGCAAGTTTGAGGACAACCAGGACCACCCAGTGAAACCCTGTCTCACCCCCCTCCCCCCCAAAAAAAGAAAAGAAATAAGAAAGCATGCTGGGATTAGAACTCAAGGACTTGCACATGCTATTTAAGAACTTTACCACTGAGCCACAGCCCAGCTACAGATTTTGGTGATTTTTTTTTTTCCAGAGCTGAGGACCAAACCCAGGGCCTTGCACTTGCTAGGCAAGCGCTCTACCACTGAGCTAAATCCCCAACCCCTGGTGATTTTTTTTTTAAAGGTTTATTTATTTTTTTTATGTATGTCTGCTTGTATGTACACACATGTACATGCAGGTGCCTGCAGAGGCCAGAAGAGGTTGTCAGGTCCCTTGCAGCTGAAGTTACAGATGGTGGAGAGCCACCCGACATGGTTTTGGGGAACTGAACTTGTGTTGTCTGGAAAAGCAGCAAGTGCTCTTAACTGTGGGATTCTCTTTCCAGGCCCTGTTTTTTGTTTTTTTGTTTTTTTTTTTCATTCAATTATGTGTGTGTGTGTGTATGTATATATATAATTTTAAATTTTGAATGTCATTTCTTGAAGGGGGTAGGAGGTCTTAATTACAGGCTTACAGCACAATGGGAGGACCCCGGAGGGCAGAAGTTCACTACTGATGTTTTACAATCTTGCATCTAAGCTATTAATGCCCATTATTCAGGACACACAGACAAGGAGCTTCCCTTAAGCATTCAGGAGGGTGGAACCTGGCAGGGAATTAGCATTGGGAGGATATCAAGGTCAAGGTCTGAAAGCAAGGCAACAGTTACCCAAAACAGGGCCCAGGGCCCTGTAGGTCCCCTTTTATTAAAAAATGAGCTTCTGACTTGGGTTGCATGGGACGTCAGCAGGTCACCTTACCTGTCATGGAGACGCCTGCCCAGGCCACACAGGTTCCAGGCCCTGTTTTTGATTTTTTTTTTTTTAATTCTTAGAACAGCATATATGGAGGGAGGGAGGGAGGGAGGGAGGGAAGGTGGGTTATAGCCACCAACACTATTCACCAAATAGTTCTGCTGCTTCTGTTTCAGGGTACACCGGGATGTACCGGGGATGTACTGAGGCACTGAGCTCCCAGGCTCTCTAGTGGATGGGCGGGACCACGTGATTACTTTGGCCAATGAGTGACAAGCAGTAGTAAGTGCTTTGTTTCTGGGTCCGTGTTTAATTGCTGCTGTGAGATCTCCAGAGTTCTCCTTCCAAAGTTCAAGATGAGGCTGCTCCGTTAGTGCTGGGTGGGCAGCGCAGATGAGAGCGAAACCATTACTTGAAGCCGCGAGGGTGCCTGGTAATGGCTGCATAGTCTGTCCTGTGCTGACCGACAGGAACACAGGAGTGCTGAGAAGGAATTGCTGGAGCTGATATGTGTGAGGAGAAGGGAGTCATAGAATGAGAAGAGCCCCAAAGGACAGCATGAGACCAGGGGTGTCACAGAAATCAAGGGAGGGGTCGGGGATTTAGCTCAGTGGTAGAGCACTTGCCTAGCAAGCGCAAGGCCCTGGGTTCGGTCCTCAGCTGGGGAGGGGGGGTGGGAATCAAGGGAGGAATTATCCCAAGAAGTACAGAGTAAGTGGCCATGCTGTTGAATGAGTCCAAGAGGTCAAGCAAAATAAGGAATGTATGTATGTTCGCTAAATCCGGCCGCTGGGAAGTGTTGGTAATCTTCCTGAGAACAGCTGTGATGGCTTGAATAGGAATGCCCCATAGGCTCACAGAGTTGAAAGCTTAGTCGCCAGGGAGTAGCCCGATTGGAGGTGTGGCCTTCTCAGAGGAAGTGAGTCACTGGAGGCGGGCTTTAAGGTTTCACATCTCAAGCCAGGCCCAGTGTCTCTTTTTCCTGCTGCCCCTGCTGATCCAGATGTGGAACTTTTGGATCTTTCTTCAGCACCATATCTGCCTGCACACCACCGTGATGATAATGATATCCCGCCATGATGATAATGCACTGAACCTCTGAACTATAAGCCAGCCCCAATGAAATGTTTTCCTTCATAAGAGTTGCCATGGTCATGATGTCTTTTCATAGCAATAACTAACCTAGACAACAGCATTCATGGAGTGATATGGTGGTGAAAATACAGGAAAGAAAGACCATGACATATCCATGGGAGATATTCAGTAGGTGGTCCAAAGAAAATAGCAGAATGATTTGCCTGCTCTGGGCATTTCTAGAAATTGAATTATCAGATGTTCTGGTTCCTTTCACATCTCCAAAGGTTCATCCAAGTTATAGCATCTATATGTTCTTTATTACTTTTTTTTATGACTGAATACTATTTCATCATAGGTATATGCCATGTTTTCTTGATCCGTTCTTTAGTGAATGGACATTTTTGCACTTGCACACCTATTCATTGCTATATCTACTAGTTCCTTGTATTCCTGGGGATGAATAAATGAATGAATGGCATGAACAGAGCAGTCCAAAGCCATAGTTGATACAATACAAAGCCAGGATTGGAAATCAGGCAGCTAGCCCTCTAGTTCTAACCACCAGACTTGACTGCCCTAATGGGAACCCTGTATATCTGCTATTTAAATATTTGTTGTTACATTCATCTTTGAGGTGTGTGTGTGTGTGTGTGTGTGTATACAGTTCAATGGAGTTATTTCTCTCCTATTACATGGGTCCTGGGTATTGAACTCAGGTCATCAGGCTTGATGGTAAGCACTATTACCATCTCAGTGGCCCCATCTATTCTGTTTACAGACGAAGATTACCGTATTCCTGAGTTTTGGGAAAGCCATGACCTTCTTGAGCAAAGAAACCAGTGGTGGTACAAAGTTGGGGGCAGGATTAAGAGAAAGCAGAGTGTGCTGTCTGTGGCTGGCAACAGAGAAAAACCCTCATCACTCCCGAGCCTAAAGAACAAAGCCAGAGTTCCCAAGTAGGAATCTGAACAGAGAGGGCTGGGAGACTCATCCAGCCTCCCTGTCCCCTGGTCTCTTGAACTGGAGCCAGCAGAGGTGGGGACAGCAGCCTTGATGGAGATCATAGGGAAGAGAAAGTACAAACTCAGACGGGAAACGCGCAAATCTGCCTGGCCAGTAATCGGGCCGGAAAGAGAGAGAGAGCAGTGGGTTGAGCCAGTTGCAAAGAGAAGACTCTTTCCTACTCTTTCTGGCTAGCGAGTGATTCTTGCCTTCTTTCTTTCTTAGGGAGGAGCACTGTCCTCTGAAATCAGACTCTCAGAATCAAACATTCCACTTGTGCCTGGAGGGTCCTCAGTCTTGATGCAGAGAAACAGCCACCATATCCACGTTAGTGCAGAGCCTCAGACACAGGGGTCTGCGAGTGCCTCCCATTCGATGCCAACCATGTCTTTATCACACAGGGCCCTGGGTCTGCTGTGTTATGCATGTCGGAAGCGGCCCATTTTAATACACCCTGCCTTCCATCAGCCTGCCCAGTGGGGTTTCAGCCCGGGCGTGGTAACTCGCAACTGTAACCCCAGAACTTGATAGGTGGAGGCAGGGAGATGAGGAGTCCAGTCTTAGCTACTCAGAAAGTTCAAAAGAAGCTTGAGTTAGCTACATAAGACCCTGTCCCAAAACAAAACAAAACAAAAAACCCAAGTCAAAAAATCAAACAAGATGCCATCTCAACTCCACCTTCCTCGGAACCCTGCTCCTCTCCTGTCTGGGGACATCCTTGGTCCTCCAGCAGATAGTCTGCCTCAGGCATGCTCAAGAGGGTTACTTCTGGATGGTAGCTTTGTTCTTGGTGGTTGGCAGCTGACTGGCCCAAGTCATAGGTTGACCTCCCAGGGCATGGAGCAGGACAGACTCTAGAGGATCAAGTAAGTAAGAAGCAGTGTGGATTTAGTCTTCCCATCCCATAATGAATCTGATCCCGCCCACCGTCATCTGCAGACCAGCGTATTGCCGGGAGCAGGGAAGGACAAAAGTCGCCATTCATTCACCCCGTGCATCTGTACGTGTGGACTGAACACAGGGTTGTGGAAAATGAACGGGTAATTTCTGTGGTTTGTAGTGGCGCGCTCCAATAATCCCAGCACTCAGGAGGTGGAGGCAGGAGGATCAGAAGTTCAAGGCCAGCCTCAGGTAAACAAATCTGAGGCCAGCTTGGATGCTTGAGAACCCGTCTCCACCGAACAAAAACAGCAAAAGAAAACAAAGTAGATGCGTCTTCACGGGGCTAGAGGCAATGGAAGTATCTAGGCCCCTCTCTGAGTCACACGGGGTCTTATGACATTTGAAGGGCAAGTGAAATGGGTTCAAAAGAGCAAAAGGAAAGGGGGAGGGGAGAATTTAAAAAATGCCCATCTCCTCAACACCATCTTTGTGCGGGTGTCTGGGGGAGGATGGCAGGGCGGAGTCATCTGTCAGCCAAGCCTGTAGGACTCGGTTCTTGTTTATTCCACTCACATTTGGGGCCGCTGCCAGGACCCGCCCCCTCCGCAGTCACTGGAAGAACTGGAAGTCCAGTGTTCCTGCTAAGACTTGGTGCATTTTCTTTGGCTGCTCCTAGCTGGGTGTTTGCTGAGGTCTAGCCTGGGAGGGGTCTAGCCAACGTCCAGCCTGAACAGAGAGCCAGCCCGTCGCCATGCCGGCTTGCTGCAGCTGGAGTGACGTCTTGCAGTATGAGACGAACAAAGTCACCCGGATCCAGAGCATGAATTATGGCACCATCAAGTGGCTCCTGCACGTGATCGTCTTTTCTTACGTGAGGTGAGTGGGGTGTGGGACGGGCAGATCTCTGCAGCACTGGACAGCACCAACGCTCCCAGGGTGCAGCTGCAGGTGCAAAGCTTGCTGGATTCCACGTGGTGGTTTAAATCCGAGACAGACACACGCTCTCATAGCTGGCTTAGAGGAAACGGGAGGAGGAAGCAGCCCTTGGCTGCAGCTGGAGCAAGCCACAAAGAAAGGGTGGCGGGCCTATGTGCCTCCCTTCAGCCTTTTCAACTGCAGCCCAGGGACACCAGGACGAGCAGGGCAGGGCAGGCCTGAGGAACCTGGAGACACAGGCCAACATCCCGGGCTCCCAGAGTGGAGGTGGGGATTTCCCCTGGGGAGTCTGAGTCATCCTCCAGCTTAGGAGGTATAGGACCAGGTTTGGAAATGTTGTTTTGGAGCATCGAGGGGGCCCCTTTAAACCAGCTTAGGAAGTTACAGTGTGTACCTTGGACTTTGACCGATTTACAGTGTCCTTGTTCCTGGTTTTCAGTGTCTTCATTGAGCTGTATGGTGGTTAAAAAAAAAAACAAACAAACAAACAGGCCGGGCGGTGGTGGCGCACGCCTTTAACCCCAGCACTCGGGAGGCAGAGCCAGGCGGATCGCTGTGAGTTCGAGGCCAGCCTGGGCTACCAAGTGAGCTCCAGGAAAGGCGCAAAACTACGCAGAGAAACCCTGTCTCAAAAAACCAAACAAACAAACAAAGAAAGAAAAAGAAAGTTTAGAACATTTCCAGCCGATCATGGAGGCAGAGGCAGGTGGATCTCTGAGTTCAAGGCCAGCCTGGCCTACAGAGTGGGTTCCAGGCCAGCCAAGGCAACACAGAGAAACCCTGTCTTCAAAAAAACAAATCCAAACAACAACAACAAAAAAGCATTTTCCCAAAGTGAATCTCCCCACCCTCTAGCCATCATTTCGACCTCGCCACTGTCCCTTAGTTTCCATGGATTTATCTATTTCTCACATTTCATATCAACAGAGCCATACAGCATCCGGTCCTTTGTGACTGACTGGCTCTTCCCCTTAGCATGTTTTCAGTGTTCACTTACATTGTCACGTGTGTTAATAATGCTGTCCAGATTCTATGACTGGATAACAGCCCACTGCGTGTAAACTACTTCATTTGTCAGGTGATGGATGTGGGATTGTTGCTATTCTTGTCATCCGGACCTAGGTCCTAATTTCTCCTGGGTTTACCTAGAAGGGGACTTGTTGGGTCACGCGGCAGCTGCATGTTACTCTCGGAGGCACGGATGGGCTGCTTTGCAGGGAAGGTTCCCCTTTTCACAGCACCGGAGCGTGAGGGCTCTGGTCCTGCCTCCTCACCAACACGCGATACTGTGGCTTTCTGATTATAACTAACCTCGCAGGTGTGATGTGATCTCTCCTGTGGCTTTGCCTTGGGTTTCTCAGACTATGGTAACCATGGTGCTTTTGACACGACATGCGGAGGTGCTGTGGTTTATTAAGATCGAGAGTGGCCTCTGTGTGTGTGTGTGTGTGTGAACTTGTTTGTGAGGGTAAGTGTGTATGTGGAGGCCAGAGGTCAACTTCCTGGGTAGCTCTCCTCCTTATTTATTTATTTATTTATTTATTTATTTATTTATTTATTTATTTATTTATTTATTTTTTCAGACAGTGTCTTTCACAAAACCTGAAGCTGGGCAGTGGTGGTGCACGCCTTTAATCCCAGCACTCCGGAGGCAGAGCCAGGCGGATCTCTGTGAGTTCGAGGCTAGCCTGGTCTACAGAGTGAGATCCAGGACAGGCACCAGAACTATACACAGAGAAAGCCTGTCTCAAAAAACCAAAACAAAAAACAAAACAAATCAGAAGCCCTGAAGCTTACCAATTCAGGCAGATTGGCTGGCCACTGAGCGGCAGGATCCCACAGGCTCTGCCTCCCTGGTGCTGGGATTCCAGGCGCCTTCTGCTATGGTCACCTTGTACACGGTTGCCGCAGGTTGGATGTGGGTCTTTACGCTTGCACAGCAAACAGCCCCCGGAGCCATTGCTCAAGCTCCAAGGTGGCCTCTGTTATAGTCCTGCTCCTGGATACATTTTCTTGGCCAAGTCACTTTAACCAGCACGCAGCTGTTTCTGTGTCTGTTTGTGCAATATCTGGATAGCCAAAGAAGAAAAAGTCCACCTCTTATCATGGTTTTGAGGGGAGCCATCCACAACTGGTAGCTCTTTCTAAGAAATCGTCTTTGTGAGCAGAATGGATATTTTTTAGATCCATCCTCTATTTTGAGCCTCACAGTAACCATAACCACAACCATGCTTGGGTTTAAGATGTAGAAATGTGGACTCAACCCCACCCCCTGCATGTTTTTGGAGGTGTCCATCTGTATGTGCATGTGCACACACATGTGTGTAGATGTTTACATGGGTTCTTTGATCTCCACCTTACTGTTTGGAGACAGGGTCTCTCCCTGAGCCCGAGGCTTACCCATTTGGCTAGGCTGGCAGCCAGGGAGTCCCTTCTCTCTCATCTGCCAGCACGGTCATGATAGGCATCTGCCACCAAACCTGGCCTTCATGTGAGAACTCGGGCCTTCATGCTCTGGTGACGAGCAGTTCACTGACTGAGCCATTTCCCCAATGTCCTCTGCCTCTTTGGGTCTTAGTTTTCTCATCTATAAAACAGGGCCAATCACTGGGACTACTAAATGAGCTAATAACAAAGCTATTAGAGAACTCTATGGCATTTGGCAAACCCTCGTTTGGCTTTCGTTATTATTATTAGGGGTGTTACTTTTGGTCTGTGTATTTACTATTCAGTAAATATCGATGACAAACATATATGTCAAAATTAAAAAATAAGATGCTCCTTTGACCAGCTGGCAGGGGACCAGTGGCCAAGGGCGCTGGTTAGGAAATGCTCATTTTGTGTTAATATATGGATGGTGTCCCAGTTCTCCCAGCAGTGTGACTTTGTGGCATTATTAGGTCCAGTGGAGGATTTCTTGTTTTATTTATTTAGCAGTGGGGTCTCACTGTGTGGCCCTGGCTTGCCTGGAACTAACCTGCCTCTGCCTTCTTAATGATGGGATGAAAGGTGTATGCCACTACACCTGTCCAACACACGGTTTCTTACAGCAGATCAAACAGATAACTATGAAAACTCCTTAGAACACTTAGTTCCAGACCTGGAGAGATGGCTCAATGGTTAAGAACCTAGGTTCTGTTCCCAGCACCCACATGGTGGCTGACAACCACCTGTGACTCCAGTTCCAGAGAAATCCAATGCCTCCATGGGCGCTGCACACACATGGTATACATATATAAGTGCAGGCAAAACACCACACATACAAAATAACAATAAATAAATCAGCCAAGTGTTATGGCACACGCCTTTAATCCCAGCACTGGGGAGGCAGAGGCAGACGGATCTCTGTGAGTTCAAAGACAGCCTGGTCTACAGAGTGAGTTTCAGGTCAGTCAGGGCTACATAGTGAGACCCTGTCTCAAAAACTTAAAAACAACGACAAACAAATAAATCTTTAAAAATAATAACTAGATCCGTTCCTGTGGTGGAATCAAGCCTTATGTGTGTTGAATACCCCCAAATTCAGTTACGCAGATTCGGCAGGAGAGAGCAATTTCAATAGTGTAATGACCCCGCAGTTAGGTGCCCGTCATAAACCTGAGGGATTAGCTGGTCTAGGGACCCCTCTATCAACCTTCACTCCCTCTGCTTCTCAGAGTGAATGTCTTACTGTCCCACCTGCTCACCAAGATGTAAACCCCAGGAGGGCTCCTAACGAGTCAACCACCTCTACCTTGAGATAAACGGGAAGAACGGCAGCTTTCCTCAGAGCTGGGAGAGCGCCACTGGAAGCTAGGATGGCTCTTTTGGGTCTGCTTTCTGGACAATTTAAGGGTTTCATCAAAGTAACAAAGGCGGCCTCAGCTACATAATTGAATTTGAGGCCAGTCTGGGCTGTGTGAAACCCTATCTCAATGGAAAAAAAAAATCTGTTACCAAAATAAATGGAAGAAAGGAAAGAAAGGAAGAAAGAAAAAAAGAAAGAGAAAGGAGGAAAGTTGGCAAGCAAAAACAAAACGTTTATTATATTTTCTTTTCTTTTCTTTTTTGGTTTTTTTGAGACAGGGTTTCTCTGTGTAGCTCTGGTGCTTTTCCTGGATCTTGCTCTGTAGCCCAGGCTGGCCTCGAACTCACAGAGATCTGCCTGACTCTGCCTCCCGAGTGCTGGGATTAAAGGCGTGCGCCACCACCGCCCGACTATAAGGTCATTTCAAAAGCCAGAGATCGGTGGAGAGATGATTTGGGGATTTAGAACACTGGCTGCTCTTACAGAGGACCTGGGTTCAGTTCCCAGCACACATATAATGGTTCATAATAGCCTGTAACTCCGGTTCCAGGGGATCTGAAACGTTGTGGCCTTAGCAGGCTTCTGTACATACATGCTGCACATAAACTCACACAGGCACACACACATACATAAAAATAATAAACAAGTAAGAGATCTCAGGGGAGTCTGGGGCCCGCTTGTAGTCATGGTTTGTCTATGTCGTCTCAGCCCCGAAACAGCTGTGGAGACTATGCTTCTGGCTGTTGCCAAGGCTAGCCCCTTCCTCAGTCCCAGCAGGAGCCCACAGCAACTGCTGATTCCCACTGGTGCTGTGCTCCTATTTGGTTTGCTGTGACCAGGGGCTACTGTTTGAACCAGGCCACCTGTAATGTCACCGTCTTTAATTTTATTCCACGAGCTGAGAAGCCACAGGATGCTTTGGTGCTGAGAGGTAAGAGATATTTGCTTTCTGTTGTGAATTTCGCCCCCCCCCCTTTCCTGGAGACTGATCTCAGAAATACTTCAGTGGCCAAACAATGATCTCGCTGGCAGCAGCTTCTCCTGGCCCAGCCATCCTCCACTACTAGCAAGCAGTGTGTCCTTTGAAGCCTCGGGCTGTCTTTTGCTGGGGAGAGGGTGTGTCTGTGCTTATGTATGGCTTTTAAAATGCAGC